TAGGCTTGTGCTAGAGTTTGGCATCAAAATATTATCAAGATGGTTGTTCCCTTGTTATAAGAATGATTGTGTAGGTCCCATGTTTACAGATGGGATGTGGCAGCCCAGAAGGTACAACACATTGCTCAGCCATCACTAGCTGTTATTCATAAGGAAAGGTGGGGAAGCAAACTGAGGAAAGGGAAGTGAAGGGGAACAAAACCAGTAGATGTTTAGGGCAATGCAGGAACGGGGAGTAAACTACATCCAGGACTTTGAACTACATAGGCCCAGAGAACAAGGGGGGCAGGGGTGGGGTAGGCAGGAGACAGATTCGTACCACACCAGTAGAAGCAAAGGGCAAGCGTGTGTGCAAGCACCAGGAACAGCAGGGCTGCAGAGGGGGCACAAGCACACATTTGGTGTGCACCTGCCGGTCCTGGAGTGCTTCGATATGTTGCCATAGATAAAACCAGGGCACCAAACTTCAGACATAAAACCTTGTGTTGGGGGGAAAGTTATTGCGATTGCTGTCCTCAGGGCCTTTCTGGACTGGGGTAGCAGAAGCACAGTGACACTAAATGCAGTGCAAGTCTCACAACATCTTCTGCTGCCTAAGATGTCCTTCTGCCCATTTCCAGCCTCCTCTTCCAGGAAGCCTTCCTGGATCATCCAAATTCTCAATCATTTCTCCCATAACACTTACCATCTGCATCATTCATTTGACATCCATCATTTATTACTTTAGGAGATATAAATATACCTCATACACACACACACACACATATACACACATCTATAACTATACACCTATACACGTATACCTGCACACATATACATAATGCATTTTTATCATCAGGCTATAAAATCCAAGAGAGAAGAGACTATATCTGATCTGCTAACCACTATAATCCAGTCCATGTATCCCAGTACAAGGGCCGGATATGAGAGCAGTTCAGAGGTGAAAACACAGAATTCAAAGTTAGAACTCCTACCTTTTAGTCCTTGTTCTGCAGCTCACCAGAGGTCTCATTCTGGACAAGTCATTTAACCTTTCTGGGCCTTACTTTGTCCTCAGAAAAAGAGGTTAAAAAATACTAATACCTCTTCACACAGTTCTCAGGAGCAGCAAATTAAATCGCGAATTTGGAAGCACTTTGTAAAGCACTATCCAGATTTAGGATAATGTTATTATTCTGCTCTGAGTTTTGATCTAGATTCTTCCATTTAATGGCGATATAACCTTGGGTAAGTTCTTCAATCCCTTTGCTTCTTCGTCTATAAACTGGAAATACAATGACTAAGTTGTAGGATTGTTATAAGAATTAAATGAAACCACATATATAACGCGGCTAGCACGGCACATGACATCTAGGACTCACTCACAAGTGTTGGGTCCTTCCCCATCTTTCCAAGTATATTAGACCTTCTGTGTTGTGCCCCTAATAGTGCCCTGCACACAACAGAAGTGCAAGGAGTATTTCCTCTTCTTGATAAAGCTGCTAATGATAATGGTGCCGCTGATGGTTGATAATGACTATTGGTGAAGACCACTTAATGATCAGCTAATGACCAGCAAAGCTGATTTGAATGCACCTTGAGCCATGTACTACCCCCCCCCCACCTCTCCTTTAAGACATGTGGGGTGAGGGTGGGAGGAGGCCTCCAGTCTGGCAGAGGCCCCTTTAAAAATGTACCCGGGCTCCTCCTCTGCCAACCAAGTTGCTAAAAATACTACTACAGCAAAAGCTGAAATATTTGCAGAGAAAACTGAATTTCCTGCTACCCCCACCCCCTCCATTCAAATGGGTGAAATCCTGACCTAAGAAGCCCCCCAGATCATCTCCACTGAAGGCACAGGCCTCCTACTTTCCACCCCCATCTTACCACGGAGTCCCTCTGTGGGCTTAAGCTGGGATATGATGTTCAGAAAGTGCCCACTCCAAGGAAGGGAAGCCACAAGTATTGGCAAATAGCTTGCCATGTGTCTTGGCTTTTCTCTCTGCTTATGAGGACCAAGTCTCTCCAAATCCCCCACCATCTGTCCCCAGATGGATCTGTATTGGACCCCGGAAGCTTCCCACTAATCCATCTCTTTTCTTTTGTCTAAAATCTCTTCCTTTGCTGGCCTCGGCTTCTATTTCGTGCCCCCCCACCTCCATGCTCCCTGTTAGAAACAGCCCACCTCGCCCCCATGCCCCAGCTCCCTCTCTAACCTGGCCCTCCGGAGCTCATCTCATTTCCAGGCCTGCAGTCCCTCTCCTTCAAGAGCTGTGGGGGCCGCCGAAAATAGAGAAGAGTTTATGAAATTCGTAGAGTCAAGGAGGACAGACAGGGTCCATATCCAGCTGGTAAATAGGTGGCACCCCAAAAGATGACATTGGCACCCAGGTCCTAAGCCCAGGCAGGCACGAGGGTCTTCCGGCACTGCTCCGCCAAGCTCTCAAGCTTTGCAGAGTGAGGCAGCCTGCTCCTCAAAGCAGCCAGACCCAGGCCTTCCACACAGCTCCTGTCCCTTCTCTGAGCTCATCTATTCGAAAGAAAAGCAGAGGCTCAGAGTTCCAGCCAGCCCGTCTTGCTGACAAACTCTGGCCACCTAGTCCAAAAGAGGAACCCCTTACCAAAAAGAATCATGTGCCCTCGATGCATGATAGTGAAGGGGTCCACTTCTGTGCATATCTTTGGATGGCAGTGGGTGGCAATGTGCCCACAGCATGTATCTCTGTGGATGTGTGAACAGTGTGTGTTTCTGTGCCTCTGGGTCGGGGTGTGTGTCATTTAAATGAGGCTGTACGCGGTGCTGCTCCTGCCTCTGGATTATTTGAGTCTGTCTTTGATTCCCGTCCTTGCCTTTCTCTGTCTACCTTTTCCTTACCTCAGAGACTGCCCATCCCCCAGGGCAAACACAGTGGCCAGTTCCGCGTAGGCGCCTCAAGTGGGCTGTTGATGAAATGCTTGTTTTGCGGATGGAACTGACAGTTGCCATTTCTGCTCTTCCACCGCCGCCAGTGTTCAGAGACGCCCTCACCCCACACAAGGGCGTCTTAGGAAGAGGGAAGGGCTGGGCTGCCTGTGTGGGAGTTTAGGGGGGGCATGTTGTAAAGATACTCCCCCCCCCCCCCCCCTCCAGCTCTGACCAGCAGGAAGAAGGGCCCAGAGGCAGCGCAGCCTGCAGAGGGATGTTGCCTAGCAACTTGGGAGACTTTACTGCAAACTCGCTAAATCCCGAATTCCTCGGCTCTAATTTGGGAAGAGAAAAGCACAGAGTCCAGGCCTGATACCCATTCTATCCCCAATTTCCTCCTTCCCTTTCCCCTCTGGATTCTGAATTTGAAGTTCAACAAGAGCTGGCACAAACCAAGGCCCCAGATGTGCCCGTGATTTAGGCAAGGGACTGAGTTCCAGGACATCCTGCCATTTGGTGGAGGTGGGGGGGATCGAGGATGTGCCAGAGACAGATTGGGGAACAGATTTTCAGTTACAAGGGTGGGTGGGTCCCAAACATGCTGGGAGAGACACCCCTATGCCCCAAACCCTGGAATCCCGGCCAGCTTCCAGCTCGGTTTGGGAGCCTAAGCTGACTAACCCCATTCCCATCATGAGTGGCCACCAGAATTTCCCTCCCACTCATTTTCCCTTTGGCAAACAGAGCCTGTAGCCCAAACATTCAGGTAGGAAGGAAAGCGTGCAACAGCTATGCTATGACTGCCCAGTGGCTGTGGATTCACTGCAGTGCTGTTTTAAGATCCCCTCTCCCAACCAGAACCACAGGGCATTTTCCCCTCCTTGCCCGCTTCAGTTATTGAGCCTGAGCAACAGCCATCCTTTCTTTCCTTCCCTCCTCTGGGAGCTTAGCTGAGAAAGACTTTCTTTCTACTTTCCTCCGAGATGGCCCACTCTATCCATTTAACAAGCCACACTGCCAGCTCCAGTACCCTGACTGGCTAGGGGACACTGGCCACCACAATCCAGTCAGGCTGCTGCTCCACAATTCTCCTCCCCTATCTCCTTTTCCCAGCCTCTCACAAAAGCCCACATCCTTCCTCCACCACAGACCCCAAAAGACAACGATTTTTTTTATATTTCCCAATACTAGGGTTTAGGGTATTTTTCTTCCTCCTAGGCAAGGTGAGAGTGGCATTTTTGTTTTATTCTGAAGCAAGATACCAAGAGGTTAGGGAGATTCTAGTATGGGAAGGGAAGGATGTTTCTCTGAAGCCAGTATCTATGCATAAATATATACATTAGATAGATGATGGATGATTGATAGGTGATAGATAGATAGATAGATAGATAGATAGATAGATAGATAGATAAGGATGTAATGCAACATCTCGGATAGGGTGACTACCCCTGTGTCATACGTCTGCATGCACACGTCTGCATTTATCTGCACAGCGTGTGTGTACAAGTTCTGTGCAATTATTTTTGTACGTTGTGTCTGTAGAATCTGTTGAAGAAGTGCACATTTTAGTGAGCCCGGGCAGTATCATATATGCACATGTGGGGCTTGTGAGCTTTTGTGTTTATGTGTGCTCATCCCCAGGTTATGTATCAACAGCTTTCTTGATTCCCTAGCAGAGTGATGATGGGACTTTTTAAACGCACTCCTTAGGGGGCTTTTTTATGAGGACTGGCGGGGGTGAGGGGAGGAGGAGTTAGAGCGAGCCATATTTGGGACTCTAGCTAAGTTGTGCAAGTGTGGGGAGGTGGGTGAGAGGTGCGTGGTTTTCTACATATGGGTGGGAGAGGTGTTATGCCCAGATGTGAGTGTATTTGTGCCCGGGTAGTCGGGGGCCTCCTTCTGCCCGCGGCGGCATACATCTGCCTGGCAGTCTGCCGCCTCAGCAAACAAGGGGGTTGAGCTTGAGAAGCTGGGGTGTGTAGGAGGAATGGATGGAAGTGTGTAGGCGGAGGGGCTGGGGCTGGAGGGGGAGGGAGGCGGAGGGAGCAGAGAGGGGGCGTGGTCCTCCCTGCAATATCCCCGCCCGCCCTGCCCAAGGCTTATCCTGATTGGCTTCTCGACCGAAGGGCTCAGGTTACATTCGCGAGCAGAGCGGAGCGCGGGAGAGAGGACCCGAGAGCAGAGCGGCTGTTTCGACGCTGGTCAGCGGGCGCCCCAAGGCCCCAGAGTCCCCACCCAGACCCCACCCCTGCCCTGCGCCAGCCTGTGCCCCAGCCAAGGACCCCCAACACCAGCATGGACTGCTGCACCGTAAGTTAGAGGGCCGGGGGGACCGGCACTCTGCCTGATCTGGGGCAAGGGGTCCCCAAGAACCCCCCCCCAGAGGGAGAGTAAGGGATGGAAGTGCATTTGAGGGTGCAGAAGACCCAAGAGCCATTGGGGTGCCTGCTGAGACGTGGGTGGTGGGTGGTGGAAGGCACTCGCCTGACTTGGAGCCCTAGGAAAAATGCTCCCCAACTCGCGGGGGCGTCTGGGCGCCCAGCCGCCAGGCAGCCTAGGTTGGACAGGGAACCCGGCAGGGCTCTGCAGCAAGGAAGCTGCAGGTTAGACGAGAAGAGGAACTTCCTCCAGAGAGGCGCTGTAAACTGTAGCGAAGCTGCGGCGACTCCTTTCGGTATCCTTTCCCCCTGGCTTTTGCCCTCGCCCCATTCCCCATCCCACTGCCACCGCCGTGGGTGGGCAGACGGGATGATCTCCATGACCCTCGTGCACTGTACAGAGCAGGATGGGACAGTCGTTCATATCGGTTAGCTCAGTAATGATGATGGGCAGCAGAGAGCCTAGTCGGTTGGTTCTGGGGAGGGGTTGACCCGTCCCCCAACGCCTTCTAGCCCTGGAAGGGGGCTGGGTGAAATGACCGCGAGAGAGCCCTGCTGGCGAGGGAAGGAAGTGTCTGCAATTTGTCAGCGCCCACGGAGACCTGGATGCGGCAAGTGCCTAATGCCAAAGTAGGTTGCTGTTAAGGTGACTTGGGTATGAAGGCGCCCGGCACAGGACCTGGCTCCCTGCACACTAGAGGAATACAGTGATCATGCGAATATAAAATGTGTTTATTTTTTTTATTTTTAATTATTATTTATTTTTAGCCCCTATCTATGGAGAAAGACCACTCCAAAGCCCTTGCCTTCTCTGTCATTCAGTCAACCCGGCTAATGATAAGGTTATGACTTTGCCTGCCCCCCACCCTCCACACTATGGCTTACAAAAGAAAAAAAAAAAA